CTATATATTATATATCTTAAATCTAAAAACAAATTAAAATATTAGCTTCATGAATTTGCGATCGCATGTAAAATTATAGGAGTAGTTGTGTTTTGCTCCTTAGAAATTCATTGAGCTTGTTCTTGAAGATATATCGGAATATCTGAAGCATGGCATTCGACTCTAAAATATACCTTAATACAGCCAAGTGAAAAGATCCTTAAAAACCATCATAAAATACATCATCTTTAAATCATGTGTTTAGATACCCTTCAAAGACTCTTCTCTATTGAGTTCATGAGTTCAATCTTATGCTTAATAAGATCTTAATAATTGTACAAAAGGTGATATGTTTGAGGATTTGAACAAAGACATTTGAATTTGAATGGAAAATATATAGTAGTCATAAAAAAATTAAGGCTTATCTTGCTAGAGTTTCAGGGTATAACATTGAAGTATGTAATGCTTCAAATATTCCCTTTTATATTCAAGAATAAGCTCAATGAATTTCTAAGGAGAAAAACACAACTACTCCTTTAATTTTACATTCTATGGCAAATTTATGAAGCTAATATTTTAATTTGTTTTTAGATTTAAGATATATAATATATAGTGCTAATCAATCCCAGTATGTGATTGCTTTTGTATACTATAAAGGATCATCTACTTGTCAAAAGTGAAGACAAGAAAAATAACAATATTGGGGAAATATTTAATAAAGCAAGATATAATAATTTGAATAATGTATATGAATTTTTAACATTCAAATTAGAATGGTTATTTGCCATCTCTTTGGTATGCATATGTCACAAGAGTGTAGAGTTCTATTGGTGCTTCACTATATAAACTTTTATATAATTATAATTCAATACTTAGTTTTACCTTTGCAATTGCCATGAGCTACTGATGTTATTATTCTTTCAAAAGTACATATTAAAGTGTTGTTAACATAAGTCATAGGATTAATATTTGACGAGCATTTTTCTACTTGTCCAAGTAAAGTCTGCTGAACACTTGGGCCATGTACAAGTAGGAAAATAATGGCGCTATAACTCCTATCATCATCCACTTATAGAGTACAAAATGGATGACTTAGTATTAATTCATTTTCCCAATTTTACGATATGTGGTTTGTCTAAAGGTCTTTTTGCTCAATGGAAAAGACCATATTGGGTATTGTAACAAGTTGGATTGCAAGTCTATAAGGTTTAACATGATATCCAACAGGCTAATCCTCCAGAAATTTTGCATGTGTAGCAACTGAAACACTTCTTATAAAGGGATAAAAAACAATTGGCACTATCTATAAATCCACCGATGCCTTTTTTTTAATGTTCCTCTAAATCCCGGCCCATCCATGAAAGAACCCTAACGATCTTTTATCATTCCAAGAAGAGGGGATGATGTGAGGTTTATGTATACAATTATGATGCCATATATTAATATTAGCATAGCGGGATTTTGGTAGCTATCAGATTGGTTTCAATCTAGACCATTTACTTCTATATATAAACTAGGGTTTTTGGGCCAATTGGGATGCACATTTTTGTATTCTCTTTCTATATTTTATGCACTCACAAGTATTCATTATTTGTGCTAATAAAATTAATAATTTTTAAATTTAACTTCACCTTTAATGTATTTTTATAGATTTAAAAGATAATGTTTTAAATTTTATTTTTAGATACTATTGAAGGTATGGGCTATATTCTCTAAAATATTCTTTAGATATGTTTTTTCTCCATTTATTTACAATGTTTCTTTAATTCCTTAGATATAACAAGTTTTAATAATGGAAAAAAAAATTTTAATTATAAAGTAAAATCAAAAAAATAAATATACTAAAATGCATTATAAAGGCTTTCACAATGTATTAATCTATTTTGGTTTCTCAATCTATCTTGTTTTTATATTTAGAAATCACTTCAAACTCCACCATGTCAATTATTATATACTTTTTAATACTGTTCCTAAGTCTATATTAAATTAATAAATACATCTAATTCCATAATTGAAATATGTCTCATATGTACATATGGCACTGTATTAATATTAACAAGCCTTCTTACACCATCCCCATCACCACCTCCCACCATATGTATACAAATCCCTACCACCACCTTCACCATCTCCACCACCACCATACCTGTACTAATCTCCACCCCCGCCATCTCCATTGCCACTTCCTCCTTACTACTACAAGTGGCTTTAGTATATCTATTTCTATATCCCAAGTGCTTATATTACAGTCATTACACTAATAATATCATATCCAAAGTAATCTAGGGAATAATCATGCAATAGCCAACCCTCTTCACAATTGTTGTTGTGGTCTTTGACAATGTTTTTTTAGACTCACCAATCACAAAATTCTTGTCAAAATCAATAAGTCAACTTGAACATCAATTGGAATGGATCTTTGCCAACAAATGTCTTGAATATCCTAATATAGAACTAGGTGAAACATTACAAAATTCAAAGGTTCCTTCCCCAAGTAAGCCAATTAGGGGTGATCACTTAATTGTAGGGCCCTTTTATTATCCTCACTAAAGAATACTGTAACTATACTTAGCTAACTTCTAGTCAAGAATAATAAGATAAAAAAAAAAGATCTTGTGAGCTGAGAAAGAGCTATTGTGATAGTAGTGATGTATTGAGTTTTAGTTTGATAGAACAATTACAATGACCTGATGCTTCTAACACTATCCCACCAAGCTGTAGCACCAAACTTCACCAACTAGATCCCCAAAGCTCTATTCACTTGTCTGGGGGCATGGGGCAGAAGTGTAAGGAGAGGTAGAGATTGTGGACTACCTTTAATGTAGTGGTGTCAGCACTAATGGAGCAAAACAAGATATTAATCTTTTCTTTCTCTTTATAATGCATTTTATGTATGTAGTTTCAAAGATTAAAGAAGGAGAATCAAAGCATTTGGTGTTGAATCTAGCAGATTGAATATGCATTACCTAATTGAAGGCATTGCTAGCCCCTAACTGAGAATTTGATTCTTGTGGGAATCAAGCAATAAGAACTTGCAAGGATGGTGATGATAAGTAGTAAAATAGCACTAGTTGTTGATATCACTGGACAGATCACAAATGTCTACAACAAAGTCAAAGACTGAAGTGGTAATTTAGGAGTGCAAACTAGAGCTTCCTTTCTTGGATCATGAGTTTCTATGATGCTATCACTAGTTTCCAGGGGCCACAAGCTGCAACAAATCATACCTCACTGATATTCTTGTTGGAAAATTTGAATGTGGACAATGGAAATGATAGGGAAGGTGACTAAGGTGATGAGGTGTAGGAGTTGGAGCTTAAGAAGCTCAAGGAAGAAGAAAAGGAGAGAATAAGTCACTCACTTTGGTGTTCTGAAGGACATGAATGCTCTTATCACTAGCAAGATTAAATTTATTGCCCTCCAGTAGAAAACTGATTTTGATCAAAATGGACAAAGCTGTGTTAAATGCTCAATTCTCATTGGAGTTTGAGAATATGCCTAACATGATCCTTGGAGAACTAAATGGAGCAATAGTAGGAGCAACATAATTGTGTGTTCATTAGCCTAGCTCATATTTAATTTCTTCATTTCTTGAGCATAGGTGCTATGGACAGATTCATGTTAGAATACTGTAATAATGCTTGTTGGAAATGAAAGCTATAAATGAAAAAAAACTTTTATATTGGAATATTTATAAGGAGCACTTCTTGAAGATCGATATTAGAAGCACTTATTAAGGAAATTATAACATTACTTGATTGTTTGGTCTTTAAGTTAACTTTTTAAGTTAAATACTTCTTCTCAAGAATACATAATCTCATTAGATCAAGAGAATAATAATATAGTAGCATGTACTGGAGGATAAAATATAATTTGATCATGTGGCAGCTGATATGGATGGAATTATCTTTTTTTTTTGTGAGATTTAAAAATTCTTTGGAATTTAGGCAGGAGAATCAAGAGTGAGGCAATCTAGGGAAATTTAATGGATTCAAAGAGATCACCAGCAAAACAAAGAGATAGCAACAAGTTCTAGACAATAGTCCAAGATCATGAGAAATCACAAAAATCTTGGGTTTGAATGATAAAAGGGTTGGAGCAATAGAGGGCCTCACTATTGGTCATGGCCAAGAAGCTACTAGAAATGTTGTGTATAGCATCTTTTGGTGTTGCGATCTGGTGGGATGAAATCTTGCTGCAAGAAGACCCCTGGAGGCCAGACAAGTTCAAGGAGAAAAAGGATTAGCTCAAGCCAGACATGTGAATTCAATCCAGCTACACCATATGGATTAAACCTGATTTAAAACTGTTTGCCCCACTTAAAGGTTTGTTCAAAATGTAGGTTCATCATCATGGCTACTTCTTTGGTTTCCTCTCAATTTGCTGGGGCTTTTGTGGAGCGCGGGTGGTCGGGAAGAATTAGGTCGAAGAGATTCTCAGGCATTGTGGCCGCATCGAGGCCTGGAGATTTTGAGAGCGACGGCGAGCTCATCACCAAGCGGCTCAAGGATTTGTCGGTAATGTCAATCTTCTCTAGAAGTACTTTGAGATTGGGACGGGAATGCAGGATAGCCTATTGCTGCCTCGTGATTTCCTGAAGTCCCTTCCTCGAGATTTGCAAGTGGATGTAAGTCAGTGATCCATTGATCGAGTTGTTCCAATTGATCTTTGTTTGGCTCTTCTCTTTTGCTCACAGGTTAACGATGCAGCGTTTGCACTATCCAGAGGTCCTGTTCATCAAGAGGTGCCCCGTTTTTCTCCTCCTTTCGCTTCTCTTGTTTTGTTCTTTCTAAGACAAAGCTAAGATTTTCTTTAGTGTGGAAGCCAAGTTGGAGAGCTTCTTCAGCGGCTTTCAAAGGCGTGGGAGCGAGCCGACACGGACTCGGTTGGAGAAATTGGCAAGGCTTTCACGGGTTTGGAGGGAGCAATCTCAAAGAGTGGCAATGGACCTGGTAAAGTTTTTCAACGTATACTCGTTCTCTTCCATGAGTAACTTCTCGTTTGCTTGTTTCATTCATGCAGCCTTTGGAAGGAGACTGATCAGAGCTGGGAACTACTTCAAGTCCACAGGACAATATGCTCAGGGCGAATTTCAAGATGTACGCCATCGTTTAGTTTCTTTATTTTTTGCGTGTGTGTGTGTGTGTGTGTGTGTGTGAGCGCTAACAATTTCTTATCAAGTTTGCAGATAGCCAAAGCTCTTTTGGCTCTTGGAGAGGCAGTGGGAGGGCGAGAAGCTCCAGAGACTGACATATCCACCATGCCCAGAGTTTTGAAGGTAAAGAAAGAAGAAACTTTTTCGTTTTTCATAGAAGAAGTAGAGACTTGTATACTTCTTCCACGACCAGTTTGGAACCTTGCAAGTAGAGATCACGCCGGGCAAAGCGTTCACAGGAGCAGCTATTGCCTTGGTTTTCGGGTATGATTTTTGGTTTCTTCTTCACTATCAAAACAAGCCTCCTTTTTTCTATTTTATGAAGGTTTTTATCATGGCAGCTTGCCGCGGCTGTCAAAAACATTCCAGAGTCTTCCCTGAGCTACGCAAACGACAATGCTCTAATGGTTGCGGCTGTAAGTCTCTAAAAAAACTTTCGTCGCTTTTCATAGCTCAATTTGCTTTGTTTCTTCCATTTTTCCAGTCTTTGCGGGGAACTCTGCTTGCGATGGCCTATTCATGTGCTGGTCTCAGTGCATTCTCCACTGTCGGCTTAATCGTTCTTGGCTTCCAGGCCAAGAACAAGGAATAGAGTTATACTGTGAGCAAGGGAAGAATCTGTACAATTCAATGCGACCTTTTATCATCACTTGTCGTTGTAGTATAGTGGTAAGTATTTCCGCCTGTCACGCGGACGACCCGGGTTCGATCCCCGGCAACGGCGACATCTTTTTGCTAAAATCATGCGTTTTTTTTTTCTTTGTGGTGTTCTTGAGTCTCGGCCTTTCGTTTTCGCGGATAAAGCTCCATAATTTTCTTCTTTTCATTTCATGCTTGGAAGAATTGTAGCAGCGCAGAGGCCCATCTCGATTTGCAGCAATGCGAGGTACGATGAGGAAGAAAGGACGAGCGTGTGGGATTCTTCCAATGCCAAGAGCGTGAGGCGCAGAAACAGGGTGAGATTCATCGAAGAGAGCTCTTGGAACACCCAAAATGGCTACTCCAATCGGAGAAGTAAATTCCATGACAATGAAGAGCGCAGCAAGAGATGGGAGTTTCCTCGAGATCAAGAAGATGAAGATTTCGATGATTATGATGAAGAGGAGGACGATGAAGAGGAAGAGGATGAAGACCAAATGGATTTTAGAGCAGTAAGTTAAGAACAAAGATTTTCCTTTTTTTGAGATTTTGATGCTATGGTTTTGATCTTAGGTGCTTGGTCTGTTTGGAATTGGACTACCAGTGGCGTTCATAGCAGTTCCATGGCTGATCAATCACCCCATGGCTCTCACAATGGTTCTTGCTCTACCTCCACTGGTCCAGCGGGCTTTCAGATTTGCTGTGGACGTGACGAGCTCGTTCTCAAGATCTCGATCCAGATTTCGAGCAAGATATCGATCGAGGTTTGCAGGTCCTGCGCGTCGCCGCTATCAAAGATCGAGGACTAGAGAGAAAGAGATGGATCGAGACGAAGAAATGGATCCAAGATATGGAAATGGAGGGATGGATCGAAGATATAGAGATGGAGAGCGATCTCAGAGCTATAGAACATATAAAAGAGGTGGTAAAGAGGTGGATCTAGATGGAGAAATGGATCAAAAATATAGAGGGATGGATAGCACGTACACCAGCGATCGAAGAACTAGAGATGGCAATACGAGCGACGATGAGATTGGTGGTGTTAGCTCCTGGGACATCTCGAACGACAGCAAGGAAGAACAGGGAAGTATGGATGGATGGATTGAGCTGGAAAATGATAGAAAGCTGCAGTTTCGACGTACCAGAAGAGTAGCAAAGGCACGGATGCGAAGGCTCCAAAGGAGGAAGGACATTTCCTTGTTCTGGAGATTTGTTCTATCAGCTTTTCCTTTCTTGCGGTCGTGGGGAGGATTCCTGTAGCATACAAGCAAAACTTATTAGCATGGCTACACAGAGCTTGAATCAAGAGAAACTTACTTGTGAATAAGCATACGAGTAGAAGAAATCTGTGAGCACTCGAAAGTAAAAAACGGAGTCAAGGCAAGATGGAAACGTTATCGAGTTACCATGAGAGATTCCACAGGGGTGTTGTCGGCCAATATTGCCAGCACGCAGGCCGGTCCCTGGAGATGAGCAACACCTTGGAACCCGAGTAGTCGAAAGTTGGACAGTACAAATCATCGCTGCCAATGACTGCCGGTCCGCAAGCTCCGCCAGTCGATGCATCGAACACGAACAAGCCGTTCCCGTTGACAGCCATGACCGAGCTTTTGTCTCCCCAAACTTGAGATATTTGCGTGTGTAGATGATGAGAAGAAACCGACTTTGGAAGCGTGTAGAGCATCATTGGCTGGCCTTTGCGTATAGACCATTGCTGGATGGTACACTTCGACTTGATCGTGCCTGCCGCGTAGACTGCTTCGCCGTGAGCGTACAGGGAGTGAACGTCCTGACCAAGCGTTGGAATCTTCACAGCAATTCCTGAAGGGACCCGAAAGTCGAGGATGCTCACAGCTTCTTGAGTCGCAACGACTCCGACGATTCCATCAATGTTCTTAGAGTTAATCCTGTGGAAGTGTCAGAACGAATCGATAATAGACATCAGAAAGTACGTACCTTTGTCTGACGCCGCCATTGCACTCGCCATCGATGTTGTATATATGAACAGCTCGAGGAGCATTGCCGGCTAAGTCGATGGTGTGGACGCACTGAGCTTCTGCATTGGACACGTCCCATGCAGTGACGACTTTATCTTCCACGGCGATTAGAGTACCCCTGCTCCTCCACTGTAGCGGCGAACTGTAGCTCATAGTTGATGACAGGCATCTCTTTGAATCCCAATTCATGACACGATCACCATCTCGAATGTCGTAGAGCGTAAGTGTCTTCAGCCCACTGCCTCCACAAGCTATAAGAGGACCACAAGGTGTGTACCACCATAAAGGGAAGTCCAGCTCTCCCTTGGATTCGGAAAACCTGTGGCCTTGAGTGGAGCCTGATCCCAGGGACGAAGTATCCTTTGAAGAGCGTCTAGATTCTGGACTCGAGCTTCTGTTGCTATGGGGTGTCGTCGGCCAAGATGGGGTCTCGGAACGATACGCAGCTACAGTTTTTTCGTAGAAGTTCCACGAACAAAATGCCGGATCAACTGCAGTGCCAGCAGAAGCTGCCACTACGTATTTACACGAGCGACCATCCATTCCTGCGGCTCTGATAAGCCAGCAATCTCGCCAAGTCGAAGGGACTAGTTCTTCAGGTAGTTTGTACTGAGATTTCTCCTGCAAGTCAAAAAAATCTGAAGCTGTTACAAAAACCTTTGAATATAAACAACAGCTTACCTCCATATTAGCAACATCGTAGAACGAGCAGCTACCATCATCGTGTGCCAAAAGCATTCCCTCTGCTTCGTAGACAAACCATCCCGCCAGCACAGATTTACTTCCGAGCTGACAAAGTTCCGGCTCCGTGTCGTCTACTGGCAGTTCCAAAGCAGAAACATTCACCGCGGGTACCGCATTCTCCTGGTCCTCGGTAACATCTTCCGACAGGACTTCATCACATTCAAGACCCACCAGAGCCTCAAAAGCCACGTCCGAGGCAGACGTGTTTGCGCTTTTGTAGCTGCCGGAGGAGCGATTGTCACTTAGTGAATGCCGTCGCCTCTTCTCCGAAGTCCCAGTGCGTATAGTAGAAGCCACGCAGCTCTTTTCCACACTACTGTCGTTCCCACAACGGAGCAAGGGCAGTGCTTTCACTTCTATGGACGTGGAAGGGACCTTTGCAGCTTGAGAGCACTTCAAGGAAGCCAGAAACTCGTCGGCAACCGTCAGCAAACTCTCGTGCACGGACACCGTGTTGGATTTCCTGCCCTCCGAGTCTGACTTCTCCTCCAAAGTAACTATCGTAGATTCCTGGGAAAGCCCACAACTCGTCGTGAGCTCCCTCCTCCCCCCCTCGATTCCACGGGACACAATTACCTTCTCAATGTTGGAAATCTTGCTCTGGATATCTGTGAGAACCTGGTTGCTCATAGGATGACTCGCGTGAAGGAGCTGCTTTGTATCTCTGAGCTCGCTCGCCAACTGCGTGACTCGATCTTCCAGCAACGAAAGCCTTGTGTGTAGCTCGACTGAGAAGAGACCACCTCCACCTTCCTGCTTGTGAGATTCTTCCTTCACTACTTCTCCTTGTAGTCCAGTCTCTGGAGAACACTGCTTAGGCTCAACGCTGCTGCTCACAGTGCTACCAGTCTCCTCTTTCGTTGTGCTTCCCACACTCTCTGGCTTCACACACTTCCCTACTGGCGCTGGCTTCTTCCCCGAGGATGTCTGGCAGTGCACTGGAGCTGGAGAGATTGACCTTTCCTGCGGACCCTTTCCCGCCCGGAGCTTGAGCAAATCGATTGTCTTCTTCCCGGGCACCACTTTCTCCTGCGATGACGCCGCCTTCCCGGCGCGGAGCTTTAGCAGATCGATCGTCTTCCTCCCTGACCCTGGCTTCTGCGATTCGACGGGAGGGGGAGAAACCCCAATCAGCTCATCCGGATGGGGAGCAATCGCCTTGCCGCTCCCTCCGCCCCGCCCTTTCTTCCTCACGATCTGCTGCATTTCCAATCGCCTGGAGCGCGATTGGAATCTCGATCTATGCTAGGACACTACCTTCGTACCACAATGCCGATCCGGTCACCGTGGAGAAACCCTGGAGAGCCGATAGAACCCTAGAAAAGAGAATGTGGTACTAGCTGAGAAAATGGCGGGATAGCGTTTGTAAAGAAGCGGGAAAGTTAATGTCATCCAACGGCTGATATTCCCACACCTGGATGGACGGTGACCCGGACACGGCATGCGTGACTAGGAATATTCGATCACTCGTTTGAAGTGACCACCTTCGCGACCTTACGTGGTTCTCTTTGGTTCGTTAAAGGACATTGCATTTCTTGCCAGCTTACGGCAACCATTGTAGCACCTGGAAGAACACAGAGAGAAAAAAAAATCGAATCGCAAAACTTTTGGTAGAAACGAGGAAGAACTTTGGCATACCAGCGACGCTCACAGCCGAAACGACGCCAAGTTCGTTCTTTGCAGTGGAAAGATAGTAAGCGCGAGAGTCTCCGAGCGAGATCTGGGAAAAAAATCGAGAGAAAACGATCGATCGAACAGTGAAGTGACGAGTTTTAGTTACCACTTCCGCTCGAATGATGTCTCCAGGCCGGAACGAAGAATGCATGTCTACTTTGTCGATCTCAGTGAGCCTTACATCCTGTTGTCTTCGCAGAGAGAGAAAATAAAAACCATACAAGTTTGAAGAACATCACGGGAACTTGGAAAGAAATCCTGGTACCTGACTATGCCCGTGAATTTCTCCTTCACGGCCCTTGGCCCGACGCAAACGATATCAGCCGAAGCCATTCGTGCCTGGACTTTCGTGATCTACAATCGCAACAAGCAAAAGAAGAGAAATATCAATCGATTTCGAGGAGTTCCATAAATTTCTACCTTGGCAGTGACTGTCGATCCAGCTTCTGGCACTGCGTCCCTCTCCTTCTCCCTGCGAATCTCGATCGTAGGCCTCTGGAAAGATCTCAGCAGAAATTTCTTCCAGCAAATTCGTCCATTACCAGATCATCCGAGCCTTGTTTCGCCTCGATCAAATGCCGGATCCCGACGAGCGAGGCGTAAATCTTACCGTCGTGGCAGTAGGAGCCTCTGCCGGCATTGAATTCGGACGCCAGGCCAAGCAGCTCGCCCGGCGTCCGGAGATCGTCTTCCCGCTTCGCCATAGCCACGAAGAACCCTAAACCCCTAGTTATTAACCACGGATAATAAACCAACATTAAAGGCCGAGTTTTGCTGATAAAGACATGATAGAACCTCCTTAGAATGAATGACTAATAAGAACATAATGGGAGAAGAAGGGAATGCCGATGATGCTCGCGATGGCGCCTCGCGCGATCATCACCTCGCGAGGGGGAAGGGATTCTGGAATCCATGGCCATCGTTTGGATTCGAGGGGAATGCGCGAGAGGCGATCGTCATGTTCCTCAGGGCAAGGCCGCCTTTCTTTTCTTTCAATCGATCGATCATTCTTTCCTCGTCTATTCCCCTCCAGGATTTCGATCGCAAGCGCTGCCAAGTGACCGCCGAGGTGCGCGCGAGATTGGGACGGCGGCCGCTCAGCACAGATCTGGCGAGCATTCGCAGCCCGCCAGAGGAATCGGCCCAGGTATTTCTTGGCAGGATTTGGGAGCCAAGAAGCGTGATTTCTTGGGAAATTTTCTATCGCAGGTGACATGGATCGGGCACGCGACATTCCTCGTCCAGTTCGATCGTCTCAACATCCTCACGGATCCAGGTGAGCTGCGATTTCGCTGCTCTTGCCAGAGATTTAACCCAGCGAGTGTTTTCCAGTGTGGTCGGAGCGCTGCTCTCCCTCGAGCATCATTGGGCCGAAACGGTAGTAACAAATTTCCTTGTCCTTGTTTACCTTGTGTGGTGTTGCAGTGTGATGCCAGTTCCGTTCCCAATAAAGGAGCTACCTCCCATCGACGTGGTCATTATATCTCACAACCATTACGGTACTCTCGAACATCTCGATCGATTTGTTTCTTTTCCTAGCGTTCTCAAGCGAACTTCTTTGAACAGACCATCTAGACGAGACAACCGTCAGAGCTCTAGGAAACACGCCTCTCTATCTTGTCCCGCTCGGAATTAAAAAATGGTAAGATCTAGCTTGCGTGTAAAGAAATAATTTTTTTTCTCAGTGATGGTTTACTGGTGTGACCAGGTTTAACGGAATCGGAATCACAAACGTGGTATGTTTCTCGATCGTTTGTACTTCTCGGGATCCTCTCATTTGATCATCACAGGTGGAATTGGAATGGTGGGAAGAACATAAAATACCGTACAGCGGTTCTAAAGTTCTCAAGGCGGTATGCACGCCTTGCCAACATTTTTCTGGTCGTGGTATATTTGATCGAAACAAGGTTAGAAAGAACTTAAGTCAGAGCTTTGTAATTATCCTGTTCACCCGTTGCAATGCAGACGCTCTGGTGTTCTTGGGTCATGGAAGCAGACAAGAGGAAGTTCTACTTCGCCGGTGATACGGGGTTTTGCACTGTTCCTCGGCATAGCGACCACAATGGTGGCGTTCCAGAAACAGGCGCTGGAGGTGGCTAAGTTCTTTCTTTATGTTTTCCTCTGTAACGTGCGCTGACTTGACATTGCAGCTCAATTGTCTGTTTGTCCCGCATTTGAAGAGATTGGAAAACGCTATGGACCATTTGACTTCGCATTCATTCCAATCGGAGCTTACAGCCCTCGCTACTTCATGAGTCCTATCCACTGTTCTCCAGGTAAATCACCAACCAGGATTCGATTGCATATATGTCTTATATATCGATCAACGTTGCAGAGGATGCCGTGGCCATCCACCGAATCGTCAGGTCCAAGCTATCAATTGCGATGCACTGGGGTCAGTCTTTTCCGAGTCTTCTTTTTATTTTCTTTGGCTTGTTGTGAATTAAACTTGATCGCAGGAACGTTTGTTCTGACGGACGAGCCGCTGCTGGAACCGCCTGCGAGATTGCAGAAGGTCTGTTTCGTGTGAAGTTCTTTTCTCATGTCGTCGGTCTGTTCTGTCCAGGAGCTGGAGAGGTTGAAGATAGACGCGTCCGCATTTATCACAATGAAGCACGGCGAGACAAAGTGTATATGAAGTGAATGCCACCTTACAAAGTACTACTGATTCGGTGAGCCGCTCTTTATGATTCTATTTCATACGATTTGTATTAGGTGGATAAGTTTTCCGTGAAGCTCTTTACAGTGAGGCGTTACAGGCGCTTGACTTTAGATTCGTGAGAGGACTAGTTTGTCTCCGGATTCGGTGAACTACTTCTATCATTAAGTCTGGAGATTTTCATTTGGAGCTCTCTACTAGTGAACTATCTGCAGTGAGTATGATTTACGCGATCCTTCTCTCGTGTGCCATCATCTCCTCGTTCGCGACGATTTCTCAGGTACCACTTTCCCTCTCTTAACGTCCAAGTTCTCGAATCGTCTCTTTTCCAGGCATGCTCGAAGAAGACCATCATCTTCTACGGACAAAACGTACGCTACCCAGCAAACTCGTCCCAAACCTCCGGGCAGCAAACAGTGGGAGGAGGATGCCTCGACCTCCCTCCTTACAACCCCGGCTACGCCTCGCTTCTCAGGCAAAAGCTCACGCTTGGGCCCGAGTATAACTCCCCCCAAGTTGGAATGGACTACGGCGGCTACGTTGCGAGCGGAGCCAGCGTCGCGTTTGGAACCGGCCAGTTTGTTCTCGACAACCATCCTTTGTTCGTGGGGACTCTTGCCTACAAGAGGCGAAGGGACATCTCGGAGAAAACCATAGCTTTCTCCGTCCGGGTTTATGGCAACGAGAGCTTCCATGGATTTGGAAATGGTACCAGCGTCACTGTTGCTTCGTACTACTATGGTCTCAACCTTGTCTTTAGATTTGTGATAGATATCTTTAGAAGCGAGTCGTGCATCCTCTAAACAAAAATGCTTTGTTACCTCTCATTATGAACTTGAAGAACTTACTTGGTGGAAAGCATAAAGTGTAAACGACTGATTTTTTATATGATCTTCGCTTTCTGTGTCACAACTTGAAATCTTGCAAAGAATATAAGCGTGAGCCATTGATGATTTTCAAATTTATTGGAGTCCCCTTTGTTCTTGAGTTTTGTTACCCAGAAACCTGGAAGAGTAAGTTAAGAAAATTTGGAAAGAGAGACAATTAAAACTTGTACCTATCAGCATTTTCTTGCTCAATCCTTGTCTCGTTTTCTGTTCTCTCTCCTTCAAACGAGCCGTGATATTTGTTCTTGAGTTTTGTTTCCCAAAATCCTGCAAGACTAAGTTTAAAAAAAATCTGGAAAGCCTTCCTGTTCGTCTTGTCAGGAAGGATTTTCTTGCTCGATCCTTGTCCCTTTTCGTGTTCTTTCTCCTTCAAACGAGCCGTGATATTTTTCGCTTTCTCATCCCAGAGCCTGCAAATGCGTTTCTGTCAATCCAAAACCTTCCAAGAAACAAATCAGTCCACTAAGTAGCACACACTTTGCGCACGAACTGACCAAAAAAACCTCACTCGACATAAAGCCTGTGACCACGAGAAAACTTTTAACTTACTTTCCACGACGGACGTGTGAAGCTCCCGAAACAAGTACTCCCAACGCATGCCTATCAGTAACAAAAACATTCCTCACCTAAGAAATCCCAAGCGCCATTTAAGTCTCCAAAATCCACGTACCTGGTCTGTGGGAAAGCAATGGAGCACAGCTCGTACCAGCTCTTCTTTCTCGCAACCGGTTTCTTCCTCATGCTCGTCTCTGTCGAATCCCAGTCCCAGTCCGAGAGCGCGACTTGCAAGGAGCAAGAGATGCTCCTCCTCCTCAACTTCAAGGCCGGCTTCACTGACAGCCAAAACATGCTGGTACACTGGAATGAGAACAACACAAACTGCTGCAAATGGAATGGAATTACCTGCGATAGGTACGTACTTCCTTTTCCCAGTAGAAAAGATATAACCATCGTCTCACCACCTCGCGGTTCTCAAACAGCCACGGGAACGTTATTTCCATCGACTGGGGCTTCTCCAACTACAACATCGCGGCCAAGTCGAGAGCTCGCGTAAATGTATTCGTGACGTACCTTCCACAGCTGGAGTACCTTCGTTATCTCGATCTCTCCACGGTCCAGCTCTCCATGGCCATTCCTCCGGAGATAGGCTCCATGATGGGTCTCGAGGCTCTTTCGCTGGCGGGGAGCTCACTTATGGGACAGTTGCCGACGAACATCAGCAACCTCGTTAGCCTGCGGCATTTGGACCTGTCGAGCAATCCCCTCGGCATAAGAATCCCCACAAGCTTGTGTGACTTACAGAACCTTGAGCACCTCTCGCTCAATCACTCCCAGTTTCACGGCGCCGTTCCGCAGTGCTTCGGCACCGCAATGCCGAACCTGACGTTCCTGGATATGTCAGCAAACAATCTCTTAGGAGTGCCATCGTTTGCAAACTTGACGCAGCTGAAGTACCTGAACTTGAGCAGCAACATCTTCAGCAGCAAACTCCTGAGAAGTATCTGCGACGCCACCAGTCTCGAGCAGCTCGACTTGTCCAGGTCCATGAGCTTGAGTGCCACACTTCCAGACTGCTTCTTCGATCTCACCGCGCTCAAGTATCTGGACCTGTCAGGAAACATGCTCATGGGCTCAATATCGGACTCCATTGGAAACTTCAAACGTCTCACTTACCTCAGTCTCGACGGGAATCAGTTCACCGGTGGAATACCGTATGGAATCAGCGACCTTTCCAGTCTCGTCATTCTTGACATGGTGGACATGTTTGACGAAAATGCAAGAACTTCCATCCCTTCGTTTCTTGGAGAGCTCACCAATCTTCGAGTTCTTCGGCTCAGTGGTCGTGCATGGCGAGGTGCCATTCCCAGCAGTAGCATCCAGAACCTCACCAGCCTGCAGGAGATGATAATCACGACCGCACCTTATATTAATGGGCCGCTTCCTTCCGAGCTTGCTGGTCTCACCACCTTACAGACGCTGATAATCACCGGTACAACTGTCTGGGGTAGCATTCCCTCCGAGCTCGGGAACCTTCCGCAGCTGCGAGTCCTCGACCTCTCAAGCAACATGCTGTCTGGTAGCATTCCTCGGAACCTTGGGAGACTTCAGACGCTTCGGGAGCTCCAACTGGCATCAAACAATCTTAGTGGAAGCATTCCCTGGGAGCTTGGAAGTATTCGCAGAGCTTACCTTGTGAACCTGGCAAACAACTCCTTGTCCGGCCAGATTCCCGACTCGCTGGCAAACATCGCCCCATCAGGAAGTGTTGATCTCTCCAACAATCTCTTCACGGGCAGATTCCCAACAGCTCTCTGCCGCCTGGAGAACGTGAAGCTTAGTAACAACAAGCTCGAAGTACTTGACGGATGGCCATCAATGACTGAAAGGCTCGAGGTGTTGGACATCTCCAACAACAATCTCAGCGGGCCGATACCAAGCTGGCTGTCTCAGCAAAGTGCCTTGGACACGCTGGATTTGTCGCAGAACAACCTCTCTGGAGACGTTCCATCCTGGATAAGCACAGCGACGCGGTTAACGTCACTTAATTTGTCACACAACCAGCTTACCAACGAGCTCCAGTATCTGCCGATGATCAACAGCGTCGACTTGCATGCCAACCAGCTCAACGGGTCCTTCACTTTCGACTTCTATCCCGACTCTCTCGAGCGTAGCTTTCTCTTCTATTTGGACTTGTCGGAGAATCAGCTATCTGGAGCCTTGCCCGCTAGCCTTCCAACGACGACGGGAAGTCACGAGGTATACTCGTATCTTTCCTTTCTGTCGCTCGCCAGCAACATTCTAACCGGAACTATTCCTTCCGCCTTGTGGTCGAACCTGTCGAGCCTCACTGCTGTAGACTTCTCCAACAATCACTTCTCCGGAGAAATCCCGACGGAGCTAGCAGGCCTGGTAGGACTGACGAGTCTCAACCTGTCTCGCAATGATCTCTCCGGAGAAATCCCAACGAGCATCTCCAACGGCAACGCACTCCAGCTGATTGATCTCAGCAGGAACACACTGGACGGGACGATCCCTCCGGAGATTGGTGACCTGTATATGCTCGAGATGCTGGATCTCTCGTACAACCAGCTTTCCGGAAGCATCCCGACCGCACTGGACGACCTTCTCTCGCTCGCGGCTTTTAACGTGTCGGCCAACAATCTCACCGGAGCTATTCCTCAAGCCGGGGGCATCCACAAGTTCCCAGCTTCCAGCTTTGCCATGAATCCTGGCCTGTGTGGAACACCTCTGCCACCCTGTTAGGCGTACTGGAAGTGTCGGTCGCCTACTAAAAGTTCCTCCATGTCATAAGGCGAGCATTCTTTACCTGCACGTAATCCACGCATCGTTTCAGATTATATAAAGTTCCCCCACGTACCTGGTGTGTTCTTCACCGTAATAAATGGCTGTGCCCAGGATGAAACGGACTCCAGGTTGCAACAAGATGCTTGGCCGACTCATTCTCCTGCTCGCTCTTTCCACCACCGTGTCACAATCTTGCGACCCCGAGGATGCTCGAGCACTTATAAGTTTTAAGTCCGGTTTCGTCGACACTGCTGCCTCCCTGTTCTCGTGGAATAACGTCACTGACTGCTGCGGATGGAGCTGGATTACGTGCAACAGGTAACCTTCCAACTTTCTTTCTCTGTCCTTCTGAAGTCCCGTTTCTCGGTAGCGCTGGACGTGTCAACACCCTCAATTTAAGCTCTATAGCCATGTTCTTGAGCAACCAGCAAGGCCTGTCCGTCATCGCAAACACCATACCGCAGCTCACGCAACTGGAATCCCTGGACCTGTCCAACCTCAACGTCTCCAGTCCGATTCCCCAAGCCTTGAGTTCCCTGCCCAACCTCAAGCTTCTCGCTATGAGCAACTGCAGCCTCTTCGGCCAAGTAGCAAGCTCTCTCTCCGAGCTTCCTCCCGGTCTGACGTACCTCGACATCTCGTACAACCTCTTCGACGATGGCGATCCGGAAAGCATCACCGCGCTCTGCAACCTCCGCAGCCTCGAGCACCTCTTCATGGCGGGACTCCCCGGCTTGATGCCCTTCATCCCGTCGTGCATATCCCAGTTGTCCAACCTCACCACGCTGGACTTCTCCTCCAATTCCCTCTCGCAGAGTTTCCCCCAGGAGCTGTCCACCCTCACGAAGATCACACGCCTGGACCTCAGCAACAACTACTTCTGGGGAAGCCTCGAGCCGCTGTGCTCTTTGAGTGAAGTAACTTACGTCAACCTGGAGCTCGGCTTTGATCCCACGAACAACACCACCACTGCTGCTAGTCTGCCCGACTGCATTGGAAACCTCTCCAAGCTCACGGAGCTCCGCCTCTCAAACTGTTATCTCGTCGGGGAGATCCCATCTTCAATCGGCCAGCTTTCACAGCTTCGCTACCTCGGCCTGGACGGCAACTCCTTCACGACCAGGATCCCGGACTCTCTCGGCAACCTCACGAACTTGGAAACTCTTGTTCTCAACAGGGACTCCACCGGCGGCGGCTCCATCTACGGTGACATCCCGGACTCTCTCGGCAACCTCGTCAACCTCAAGGACTTCGAGCTCTCCAGCGCTCAAGGCGTCACTGGACAGATCCCCGAGAGCTTCCAAAACTTTGAGAGCATCGAGACGCTCATCCTTAGCAACCTTGGCATCGGTGGCCGGATTCGCGAGAGCCTCTTCCAGAGATTCTCCAAGCTCGAGTTCCTGGACCTGTCCCAGAATTTTCTCATCGGCGCGATACCATCGTCGCTAGGCGCCATGGCTTCCCTCGAGGAGATCTATCTCTACAGCAACAACCTCAACGGCTCCATCCCCGACGCCATCGCCAATCTCACCCGCCTCGCGACGCTGGATCTCTCCAGCAATCACCTCGATGGCCAAATCCCCGGCCCAGCGATCGCGCAGCTCACGGGGTTGCAAGTGATGGATCTCTCCGCGAACGATCTCACCGGAAATATTCCATCGGAGCTCGCGGATCTCGGCCAGCTCGCGACGCTCGATCTGTCCTGGAACCAGCTCTCCGGAGTGATCCCGCCCGAAATCCACGATCTCTCATCGCTGGAGTACTTCAGCGTCGCGAACAACAATCTCTCCGGCCCCATCCCGGCGGAGCTCGGGAGCTTCGATGCCTCGTCCTTCGAGGACAATGCTGGACTGTGTGGATTCCCGCTAGATCCGTGCTCAAGCTAGAGATGATCCCGGCCAGAGATGGAGAATAACCAGCATAGCATCGGCGCTTACCGCTCGCTCAGCGCTTCTTTCTTCCAAGAACCCTAGAAATAGAAACGGGCAAATACATCATCAATCCTTGTCCGCCGCCTAAAACATTTTTGCTCTGCGACTCCTCCATAATCTTTGATGCATACATTTCGTGGATGAAGGCATAGCGTGCGATCTATCGCCCTAAAGCCTCTGCCTTCGTACTAGCATTGGAGAATCGGGCGCATTATAGTGATGCTATATTTCAAAAGAGGAGCTTAAGAACAACCACAAGATGATCCATCACTTCTGGAGCATGGAGTATGGAGGTTATAGTTTGAAGATTGCATGGAGCATGGAGTAGGACATCGAAGGCCAAGATCAGGAAGACATGGACGACATCATGACAATGGCAATCTTCTAGGATTTTAAAATCTTTTGGTCTCGTTCTTTATAGTGAACACTCCAAGACCGTAAACAGTATATGAGCTTTATATATGAGCTTTATAGTGAACACTCCAAGACCATAAACAGTATATGAATGAATGAATATAGTGCTTACAATGGTTTGATTCAAGTATGTTCTGAAACTTGATGGATGTCTGTCTCTAATAAATATGATAATCTTTCTTTTATAGTGGTTTAGACAAAACTCAACCAGCCAGATGATGGTAATGGCAACACATTGTACATTATGATGGTGATGGCTTCACTGAAGCCAAAGAATTAACTTAGAAAAGACTTGCATAATTCAACATTACCATGGTCCACTCACTTTCTCACTTTCTCACTTTCTGCTCAAAAGATCTTTGCAACTCAAAATATCTGTAGCATACATGGCAAACTGCTGCTGAAAAACCTGTATTAACTATTACGACTGTACCATTATTGTCATCACCACCCATGTAGGAATCAAAAGACTGCAACCTTCTCACGGGCAGTCCTAGTGGTTGCGTAGAGCTCATTCCTAACAGGTGTGTTGAGAAACTTCTAGAGATGCCTTCGACGTGGAGCAGCCTCGGCCTCCAAGAAGCATTTGAAATACAAGAGCCACCCTGAAGTCATTCCTCAGGGTTTGTTTGTGATATCTTCATTGAAACCTCAGGCAGCTGCTTGCTTGCTTTATTGCTTGGCTCACATTCATCTCCCTGTTTACTGTTCACTCTCGGCTAGAGAAATTTCTTCGGCAGTGTGTAGATTTGATATAAGCGCAACGATGGCATCTGCGCTTCTCTCGTCATCGTCTTCGTCTGCAGTCGTGTTGAAGCAGCAGCATCTGGTTCTGTCCAGGCATGGATCCAGTTCCATTGTCTCGTACAGTAGGATTCACCCTCTTGTGTGCAGAGCAACCAAGGTAAGACCAAAGGAGTCTTTGAGCACTTGTTCTAAACATCAGCCTGGCCTTTTGCTTTTGTTTTTCGCAGGAAGGAGATTCAGATCAGGCAGCAGCAACATCACCAGTTGAGAAGAAGGTTGAAGCAGCAAGTCCTGTGACTCCAATCCAGACTCCTCCTCAGCCGAAGAAGCCTGAGGTATTACATCTGCTTCTCTAGAACGGCCATTGCTTAGAATCCTTCTTCATGGTTGTCTTTTGTCTTTTGTTGGTTGTCCCGCATTTTGTTCTCATTCTACTCCGACTCTCAGGTTTGCAGGCTCCAGATCCATAAATCATTTCCCTCTTCATTTCTATAGATTCATCTGCTTTGCCCTTCAGATCTCAAAGCTAAGATTCCTTGTTGGTTTTGTCTTTCAGACAAGCTTCTTGGACCTGTTTGCGTTCTCTGGACCAGTGCCTGAGGCAGTAAATGGAAGACTGGCCATGCTCGGGTTCACCGCCGCCCTCGGTGTTGAGCTTGCTTCCGGGAGGGGCTTGCTTGGCCAACTCGACAATGGTGGAAGCAGCTATTTCGTTGGAGCAGCCTTGCTCTTCACGCTGGCTTCGTTGGTGCCCCTCTTCCAAGGAGTGAGTATCGAGAAAGCTTCTGGTGGCATTGGAGGAGTCTTCACTTCCAAAGCTGAGAGATGGAACGGTAGAGCGGCCATGCTTGGACTTGTGGCCTTGGGCATCACGGAGTTTGTCAAAGGAAGCCCCCTTATATAAGAAACCTCTTCGCTATGTAGATGAGATGAGCTCTCACAGATATCACATGATTAAATGAGAGGAAATTTTATTCAAGACCTGGCTTCTGTATAAAGTATGGATCAACCAAGTCTGCCAGTCTACCAAATCAAATCAAGGAATACTTCAACACAGTCCATATTCCTTGCTGCTCGAGCTAGTCTTGTGAACTTTTTCAGTGCTATGGAAGTCCACGATGGCGTACCTATGAATCAATATGGACCACGAACCACAAGTGAAGCAAATCCACCGTGAACATAACAACCATAAACTGGTGAGTCGTCGTGGAGCGATACGAGGATGGGAAGCTCTACTTGGAGATGGAGAAGTGTGAAAACTCCTCCTCAAGTCTAAAATTTCACACATGCATAGTTATGCCTCAATAGAGTTATAGTTGCAGGTGGAGACCTTGCGATCTTTAATGATGAATTGAACACCTTCTTTGTTCTTGAACGTCTGAAAGCCCACCTGTAGTGTGGATGATATAATACATCCTCTCATATTTGAGATTGAACACTTATCCTAGAGCAGCATTGAGGTTGGGGCTGGCACAAACGCGTTAATTACAACCTGCTTAAAGCATTCATGTCCCAAAATATGAACAAGATCGGTTGATCATCAAAAGCTCCACTCGGCACAGCAGCCTTCAGATCGCCGCCTTAATCCCATGCCAAAGCCGAACCCATGCCTGCTTACTATGCACTTTAATCACTAAATAGTAAGCTTGGAAATGGGAAATGGAGAGAGCGCAATCCCTGGATCTCATCGATACTTGCACCTCTTTGCCTGCTGCCAGAAGAATCCAAGCTCGCATTCTAACCTCCTTCCCGGGCGATGTCTTCATCCACAACAGGCTGATCGAAATGTACACAAAATTGGGGAGCCTGGACGATGCGACAAAGACTTTCGAGGAATCGCAACGCAAGAATCTATTCTCTTTCGTGCTCATGCTCTCTGCTTATGCGCGCGCCGGACAGCTCAATCGCGCTAAATCCCTCTTTGATGCCATGCCGGCGTGGAATCTAGTCGCATGGAATGCGATGCTAACTGCATATACCCGTTCTGGGCATCTGGCGTGTGCTAGGTCTGTATTTTCAAATATGCCGGATAAAAGTATTATTTCTTGGAACACTATGTTAGCACTGTACTCACTGACCGGGGAAATCGACGTTGCCACCGAGACCTTTCTACAAATGCCTTTGAGAGACTTTATCTCGTGGACAACGATGCTTTCTGCATATACCAAAACTGGGTATTTTGAAGAAGCGGAAATTCTGCTGGACGAGATGCCACAGCATTCTTTTAACTTGTGGGTATCTGTCCTTTCTTCTTATGCTAAACACAAATTAATTAAAAAAGCGAAGAATGTTTTTTCAAGAATGCCGTATAGAAATCTTATTGCTTGTAATGTAATGATCCTTGCATATGCCCAAAACGGGGATTTTGATGAAGCTTTTAGTTTTGTAGAAAGTTGCATGCCTGAGAGGGATTTGGTGACATGGACGTCCTTGCTTGCAGCATTGGCACAATACGGTCATGTGGAAGATGCCAAGCGTGTGTTTGATTCGTTCCCAGGACAAGATTCCATCTCGTGGACCGCAATGCTGACGGCATATGCCCAGAACGGGTATCTCGAAGATGCGAAGCGAATGTTTCGTGACATGCCTGAACTGAATCTCGTGTCGTGCAACTCTATGATGGTGGCTTTTGCTAAAAATGGGGAAATTGACTCTGCAAAAGATGTTTTTGATAGCATGCCAAAACATGATGTCATCTCTTGGACGTCTATGATGGTTGCTTATACGCAGAATGGTTTCTTAGAAGAGGCGAGAGAAACATTTGATCGCATTCCTGTGAAGAACTTAGTTTCTTACAATGCCATCCTCTCTGCATATGCCCAATCAGGGAATATCCAAGATGCTAGAAGAATCTACGCTGTAATGCCTCAACACACAGTCACGTCCTGGACGTCTATGCTCACCGCATTTGCTCAAAATGGTCTTTTGGAAGAAGCAAAGCATGTTTATGACCAAATGGGCCAAAGGGATCTCATTGCAATGGCTTCAATGCTCTCGGCATATGCTCAAAATGGACACATTGTCGAAGCCAAGAGATTCTATGAGAGCTTTCCAGAATGGAACATGGTATCAACTAACACGATGCTTTCGGCATATGCCCAGCATGGCTATCTAGATCAAGCACTCGTTGTCTTTGACAATATGCCCCAGAGAGACGAAGCTACTTGGAATGCAATCCTGGCAAGTTATACTCAGAACGGACATCTTTCAGATGCCAAGAGAATCTTTCACTCCATGCCCAGCCGCAATATCATCTCGTGGAATACCATTCTAGCTGGTTTTGTGGAAAGTGGACAACCAGCAATGGTAAAGAAGCTTTTCAATGAGATGCAATCGACAATCCTTCCGGACGAGGCTTGCTTTGCCATGGTCCTCATTGCCAGCAGCCAAGATGGCAAAGTTAACCAGGGGATCCAAAACTTTAGAAGCATGGTTTTCGACTATGGAATCCAACCTTCGAAGCAGCACTATTGCTGCATGGTTGATATCCTTTCAAGAGCTCGGCATTTGGATGTGGCAATGGAGCTAATTGAGAGCATGCCTTTTGTTGCTGATGGAGTGGATTGGATGTGCTTTCTTTCAGCTTGCGGGCGTCAAGCGCATGGTCATGCTGGCTTGAGTGTGGCAAGGCATGCAATTGAGAAAGACGAGAAAAAAGCAGCGTTTTACGTGTCAGTGGCAAACATCTACTCAGAGCTTTGACGTTAATGAAGGATCGCAAGGGAGAAATATACTCGCTGAGAGAAGTCTCTGAACCGCTTTGTTTGTTGTGATCGATTTCATGCAGGGCTTGAAGCTGGAGCAGGAGATGCTGGATCACCCGTTGCTTCAAAAGGCTGAGTATGATTGTCAACGACTTGTTCTCCTTCAAAAAAGAATGGGTCTCCGTTCCTGGCGTGGCTTAAACTTGAGGATCAACCATGCAATCGGAAAGGCGATAAGCATGATCCAGGAGCTAAAAGAGGAGTTTAAGCATAAAAAGGGGGAGATACTGTCGTCCGAAGAAGGCCTCAGAGGCACGAATGGTGTTATGGAGTACCTGGCGGGAATAGAGGCATTCATGACT